AGACTCTCCCACCCGTCACCTTGGCGTGAGAACTGCGGGGCTTACCTGGTCGCATGAAACCTGCACAGTTTTGGCCCAACCCCTGGGACACAGACCCCCCACTTGGTGACCATTGGGCCATATATGGTAATATGCAAGCGCGGGAAAGCGATGTGCAGATTTGGGGATAAATATCCATGGCACAGTTTGCTCTAGGAGGTCTTCGCAACATACGTACCACCGTGCGTGTGCCTTCTCATATACTTCAAAGCGCTGCCGGCCTGATCAACCGACCAGCCACCTCCCCCGACTCTCGGGCGTAACCAAGGCCTTCGCAACCGAACCGATATCTGTGAAATGTTCCGTGTGCTGTGTAAGTTGGTATGTATGATTTAATTTTTTTCTTGTTGTATAAGCTTAGTGTTGTAGTTGTTTTTGGGTAGTACATAAGAGTTTGTAGTTATCACTGTTATTTAATTAGTGTAGCTGGATATTTTAAGATTAGAGACTATTCCCCTTGCCATCCTTATATCTCTGACATGTTTTACTAGAAGCCATAGAATAAATATAATAAATACTGTAAATCCATTATTAACACGGTCTATTAAAAATCTTAGAATAAATACTATAAATTCACCATTGTCATAAATAAATATTTTTCATTTGATAAAACTGTCCACCTGGTTCTGTCCTTCCCCCCTTGGGTATTTATCATCGGACCTGTGATTCTCGCAACAACTACTTTCACTTTCAAAAGATCCTCTTTTGAAAGTGAGATTGGAAGAAGATATGCAAATTCCCACGGAATTTTCATATCCTCTTTCGGAAAAAAAACCCGTAGTTTAGACATACCCTTGTAAACTGAGCCAAAAATATAACGGAAGCCACAAAAAGAAACTAACCAGAGAACACCAGGATGTCTTCACTTTCACTCGGTTTCAGACCAGTTTAGAGTTATGAAAAAACAAAATGAGCTTGATTATTCCTGTTCTAGAAAATGCTGTCTCTGACAGCTTTAATTTCCTGCCCACCTAGAATCAGCAGGCCTGCTATTGGCACTGTTGGCTCAGGCTGATGGGCCGTGAGCTAAGAAAGCGTTCAGAAGACTCGAATGAGTAACTGGCACTGTGTTTGGTCTGAATAGCAAAGAACTTGTGTGGGCTTTCCTTTCAGGGGCAGATGAAAAAAGGTTTTCTGGTGGCTTTTGTTCTAATCTCTGGGCTCATTTGTACCTATTTTTAAAATTTACACTTTAGTTGCCAGAGGCTTGAAGAGCACCTCTGCAGAGATCTCCCTAGATATTTCCCCATTCACTCTCTCTACCCTCAGAGACCCAAGGCCCTTCTAATCAAGGTTAGCCATATGCCAGGACCACCAGCCTCCTCCCCCCCAACTCCTGCTCATCATCTAGGTTCTCTCATATAATTGATCCTAGATAAGATACCAAAACTTGTGCACAACTTTAACCATGGCGCTAGCTATTAAAACATCGGGGGCAGTCAACATGCTTTGTGCCAAAATCGTGTTCTTTAGACCAGTGGTTTTCAAAGTGTGGTCTGTGGACCACTGGTTCTCCATGACCATGATGCAGGTGGGCTGTGGGTTCGGGGCTCCTCTGCCCCCATACAGTGGGGAGTCCCACCCCTGCAGCCTCATACATTCCCTGAAATGTTGCAGACTAGCAGATGTGGTGGTCAAAAGTTATTGTGTTACTAACCAGCTGTGTCTACACTGGCACCCTTTTCCGGAAAAGGGATGCAGATTAGCCAAGTCGAAATTGCAAATGCAGTGGGGATTTACATTTTCCCCGCTGCATTTGCATGAACATGGCTGCCGCTTTTTTCCAGCTCAGGGCTTTGCCGGCAAAAAGCGCCAGTCTAGACACGGATCTTTAGGAAAATAAAGCCTTTTCCTTTTAGGGAAGATCCTCTTAAAATCAGGAATAAGGGATCTTCCAGAAAAGGCTTTATTTTCCGAAAGATCCCTGTCTAGACTGGCGCTTTTTGCCGGCAAAGCCCTGAGCTGGAAAAAAGCGGCAGCCATGTTCATGCAAATGCAGCGGGGAAAATGTAAATCCCCACTGCATTTGCAATTTCGACTTGGCTAATCTGCATCCCTTTTCCGGAAAAGGGTGCCAGTGTAGACACAGCCACCAAGAAAAAATACCATGTAGTTTCATGTAGGGCCTCACTTTGTCCAACCAAAGAAAAAAGAAAGTTACAGTTTAAGACAATGAAACCGCCGGTAACTATTCAACTAACTCTTTGTGTAGAGTCCTGCATGGATATAAAATTTTTATAAGCCTCCATAGCCACCATGAGCTGAAAATATCCACATCCATAGCCACGGATGTAGATATCCCCGGATATAAAGGGGATATTCGGAATTTGCGGGGTTTTCTCAACAGAATTTGCATTTGCCTCTCCATCTATATCTGCCAAAATGAATCACGGACAGGTGTGGATATCCAGTGGGATTTGCAGGACTCTGTCTATGGGCGCAGTATCTGAGCAACTAAATATTAATGGATCAATCTGCACATCGTCTACCTGGGAGATGGGGAAGTGCTGTTGTTCTCATTTTACAGAACGAAAGCACATAGCAAGGAATGGAGTTGCCCACCTTCATACAAGGAAATTTATGACAGAATAAGGGAACTCACCTCAGGTCTCCAGCGCCACACCCCAGTGACTTAATGATAAAACCTTCCTTCCATCACTAAAAAAGGACAGTATGTTTTGATATATAACTTTTCATTATTTTTTCCAAATGTAACAAAATACTAGCGTCATCATAATATGCAAATAAAGAGGGTTAAGATATAGGCCGAGGAGGGCAAGTGACGTATTTCCAGGGTCTATTTTAACCACAGGCCTCTAAAAAACTTAACCATTTTGCTTTGAATTTTGGGGGCATTCTTTTCTGTGGGGTGCCAGTTGATTGTTAGCTGTGAGGCCAGCCATATCATTGATCCAGGCATCCACATATGGTGAGGATTAACGTCTCCGTTTTTGCAGGATTCATTTTTTAGCAGCCAAAGCTGCACATTGGCACCGTGCCATCTTGCTACCAGGTAACCTTCAGGTATCGGGAATAGATACAAGAATAAAACTTAAAGAGGAGGGCTCCCACTTAGCATCCCATATCAAGCTGGTCCTTTGACCCACCCTGTACCAGAAATTCTGCATATAGTGGCATTCCCAAAACACATGGTGCAAACGGAGCATCAAGAGGGATACGGTCCTAACAGCCGTCAGTATTTATGAGGGCCATTATAATCGGGGACCAGCAGATCAGGAAAAAGAGGACTGGATCTTAAAGTAAAATTAAAACAATGGAAGATAGTTTTGCTGAGAAACAGAAGAAATTAAAAGCACTAGGATTCATTAGCTTTCAAACCAGATGGGGCATTTTTAGTGTTGGTTAAAAAAAAAAAACCCCCAACAACTAGAGAAGCTTTTGCAACCCTCTGACTGCATATACTACGTGAAGCTCACTCCATTTCATTCTGGCAAATCCTACAAATTAAAATGACTTTTAGTCGCCTGCAATCACCCCAAAGGATTTATATCCCTTGCAATGGATTTTAAGCATTGATTCTCTGACCCCTTTCTAGCTGAAACAGAGAAACTAATTAGCCTACTACAATGGAAATGTAATAAGATTTTACTCTGGATGTGGGAGTGGGTGATTTGTGATCTAGAGAAAAGGCCCACTTGTTATACGCAGAGCCGTCTGTACCCACACTCAGAATATGAAGTTGTATAGGGCAGTGTTTCTCAACCAGTGGTACAAGTACCCTTAGAGGTACTCAAGAGAAGTCTGGGGGGTATGTCAACACAACTGAAATGTGTAGAAAACTGAATTTTTGTTTTAAGTTTTACAGCGTTTTATTATTTTTGTACGTTTTACACTCAAAAATTTCGTCACCCTCCCCGCTATGATTAAGTTGTTTAAACAAATGCGTTGAAATGGTAGAAAAAAAAAACTTGTGTGTCTGAAAACTGTAGGTACATGGGGTACCTTTTTTTGGAAAAAGGGGTACTTTATAAAAAAAAAAGGTTGAGAAACACTGGCATAGGGCACCCAAAAATTTGGGGCACCATTGGGCCTCAATATCTCGCCCTGTTCTGTGGCTCTGCTTCCTCCAGAGAGAATCTAGTTAACTTAAAAAGTGAGAATGCCTGCCAGAGCTATTAGCAGCTCTGAACCTGTGAAAGAGCCATTCCAGTGGTAATAGAGTCATTTAACAGGCATTTGCCAACCCCAGGTATGTAGTATCAGTTTCTGAATTTACTGTATTAGCCTACAGGCACTTTGTTTAAAATTTGTTTTAAAACTATGTTATTAGTGTGTTGCTAACAATTATAAAATCACCTTACCCCCCCTCCCCCTCGTCTCCCCCTCTGCTGGCTGCCATCGGGCATAGGGGCACAAGTTTCATTGTAATGTGCGAGGCCCCATAAGTCCTGAGGATGGCCCTGGTTCCCTGTGGTGGAGAAAGCGGGCATGACAACCACCCCGGAGAGAGAAAGGAAGGTCATTGGTGCAAAGGGAAAAAAGGAGGCAATTGTTAAAGATGGAGCTGAAGGATGTAGCCCTGGGCTGGGAAGCTCATGGTCACAGGCTAGGTAGACATCCCTTAAGAGGGAGCAGTGCCACTGCAACTGTGCCTGGCCAGCGGAGCCCCAACTGGGCAAAAAGAGAAAGCAACCCGTCCTGAGAGAAGAGGAAGGTCGGGTGAAAGAGCCACACCCACTCAATGTGGCACTTTGTCTCCCCCTAGTGGTAGCTGCGGCTCAGTCCCCGCTAGAAGGAAATTGATGAGCTTGCTCCAGCCTTGCATAACAGAAGGGTCTTTTAACTCAGGCAATGGAGGGAGACTCATCCAGTATTTAGATACAGGGGTCCCAGTTTTAGTCCCCGCTGTTAATGTCCCACCTGGACATTAGCAAAAGCCCCTTGGTGTCGTGTATGCAGGAGCAATTACAAGGAGACATGCACTCTGTTTATCATTTCAGGCCCAAAACAGATTATTCCAGAACTGCTGCACCACTCCTGGGGAAACCATCTGTAACTTGGCGAACAGGAAATCCAAGAGACACTTTCCATTGATTTCACAGAGAGTTGGATCAGACTCTGCCTTTGCTCATTTGACGGGTGGGACGATTTCATCTTTAAAAAGCAAATGTTGCTGGTTTATCCTGTGACCTGAGATGCAAACCGGGTCTTCTCTGCCACTTACAATGAGCTCACCCTGGCATATAAATACTCCACTCTAGGGTTTCACTGTTTTGCTGATGCACAAGGCAGATAGAAGCCCGCTTGCTTTTCCAAAACTGTGTTGTCTTTGCCGTGTAGAAGATCTGTCAAAACTTGTTTGGCTCTGTCCCGTCAGGAGATCTGAATCAGAGAGACTCTGGGTGGGAGAAGGGAATTCAGGAGGAAGGTGCATTTTACATTGGGAATGTCAATACTTTAAACCGAGCTAGGTCTGGCACAAGCCTGCCAGGAAATCCAGAATAACCATGTGCGGGCCTAGCTTGCACAGAGCCCCATAATGCTGCAGGCTGGCAGCTCCTGGAAGTGTGCTCACTACATTAGAGCTAGCTGTGATATGTCTACACAAGCTGCAATCCACAGCCTATTCCTTTTTCTGACCGCAGCCACACTTGACAGGTGCAATGATCGCCACGGTCATCAGTGAATATTGCGCTGCCTATGTACGGGATGGGGCTCTTGCCTTCAGAACCTGATCCAGGTCACATGGATTGGGCTGGCAATAGACGTACAGTCTCTCCCCCATGCTCCTGTGTGTCACACTCTGGTTACATAAGCGAGGCCAGTGATCAGGTTTAATAGACTTGACAGGATCTCTTACAGCGCTTTGGCAACTCGCTGCTAACAAGCTCACGGAGGAGTTGGAGAGCAAGGGAGGCCCCTGCTCTCAGGCAGACTCAAGCATCTCCCTTTCCCCGCTGTCCCAGACCTTGTCATCCCTTAGTCCAGGCCAGTGTGTATCGCCTGAATTTAGCAGCAAATGGATGTCTAACAGCGAATGCCAGTGAAATTGAGGTAGGATCGGAGGTTAAAATAGCAAAAGAACAAATGAAATTACTTAGACAAGATAAGTGTCCTCGGGCCACCAGAACCGGATGAAATACATCCTGAGCCATTAGCAATTACCTGTAAAATGTCATAGAAGATGGGAGAGATTCCATAGCACTGGAAGAGGGACAATGTAGTGCCAATCTACAAAAAGAGGAATAAGGATAAAAAGGGGGATTAAAGACCAGTCATCTTAACTTCAGTACCCAGAAAGATAATGGAGCAAATAATCAACCAACCAATTTGCAAACACCTAGGAGATAATAAGCTGATAAGTAATAGTCAGCATGGCAGTGTCAAGAATAAAGCGTGTTAAGCCAACTGGACAGCATACCAAGCCTTGTGGATGGGGGGGGAAGCGGTAGATGGGATATATCTTGGCTTTAGTAAGACTTTTGATACTATCTGGCATGACCTTCTCATAAACAAACAGGGAAATCCAACCTAAGTGGAGTTACTATAAGGTGGGTGCATGAGTAGATGCAAAACTTCTCCCAGAGAATAGTTATCAGTGATTCGCAGTTAAACTGGTACTGGAGAGGGGGTACCAGGTTCAGGCACTGGCCAGGAGGCGCTTACCTAGGCAGCTCCTGGCCAGCTGCCCAGCGGGACCCTGAGGCAGGCTCCCTGCCTGCCGCAGCCCCAGACCACTCAAAGCGGCAGGCGGCTCCCTCCATGTGCCTCTCTGTGCCAGGTTCCATTTCTGGCTGCTCTGCAGACTCAGCATGTAATCATGGGCAGGTCACCTCATCTCTCTGTGCCTCACCTCCCTATCAGAAGAACAGGGATAATGAATCTTCTCTGCCTTTAGGCAGCACTCTGAGATCCGTGGATGGAAAACCAGGCTTTAAATCCAAAATATTACTGGCAAGAAAGTCCCCTGCAATAAGAACTGGCCTTTGGGAGAGGAATTAGGTTAAAAAGACTAAAATTTACCCAGAAAAGCTTCAGGCTGCAGATGAAGAAAGGGCTGAAGTCCAACTTGGCTCTTACGTTAACCCGACAGCCATTGCTAGTCAAAAGGCTCGGCTGCCACTAGTCAAGAGAACAGGATCCGTGCTTAGCAGATGGAACACACCCGAAGTACAGAGTGGTCCGGACCGCTGTAAATTCCCTAACCTCGTGCACAAGAGAGCGAGCACCCATTGCTGATTAGGCCACTTAACCAAGCATGCGATACAGCCACTGGGGCCAGCCCTGCCAAAGAGCTCGTGGGAGAAAAAGGATAGGCTCTGTTGCTCCTGCCAGTTTCCGTGATGCGGAGAAGCTGCCCCTTTGTGTCTCACGGGGGCTCAGGGCAGCCCCACAAAGCAGGCATTGTGGGTGAGCCACAGTCACCGCCGAGCTGTTTCCCTGCTCTGCTGCCAGGATGCAGCGATTGTGCTTTCGCCATTTCATCTCCGTCCAAACAGGAAGAGAGCCCAGGAAGCTGGTTATGGACTCTTGTGTGTAAATCTCAGTTGCCTGCCTTGAACTAAGTGCTTTATCTACCACTTAAGCCAGCTGATAATGCACCAAGCGACTCTGGCTAGAGAAGGCTGCGCGGAACAAAAGGAGGTTGGGGCAACACAAGGTTTGGCAGGGTCACGCCGAGCATTGCTTGTGCCAGGAAATTGTTCAGGGCACTTTCTGCTGGGTAAGAAAGGAATCAGCAGCAGAGAGGTGGGAAGGTCAAACGCATCATTCTCTGGCTTGCTTAGCCATCGTCTGGGACCATCCGGATGAGGGACAGAAATTCAAGCTCTCTTTAGTATAGGCTAGACTTCCCACACTGAGATCAGTCCCCTTCCCCCGTCATGCAAGGCAGTGTGCATAATCCTGCCCTGAGGAGCTTAGAGGCTGCACCAGCAAGGGGGAAAGGAAGTGTGTATTCCCAATTCCCAGACAAGGAGCCATGGCACAGAGCTTGCGTGACTTGCCAAGGTCACACCAGCATCTGTGGCAGGGCTGGGGAGGGATCAAAGGCAGCCTTGAACTAAGAACAGAGCTGCACTAGAGTGTTTTTTCCTTTTCACATCCATTTCCTAAGTCATTTCAGAACTGTGTGCAGGGCTGGGACAGGCAAACTTTCTCCCTTTCCCTGGTTATCCCAGATGCTTGGTGCATGTTCTGGGGCTGGGACACCAGCAGCCATAGTGACTCATGGTAGCTGACTGGCCCCCCTGAGTTCCCTGTTTCTCTGGGTGGCCTTCCCTTGCACCTCTGCCAGGAGCTTAGTTTCATGCCTTTGTAACCACCACCAGGCGGATTTGAACCTGAGAGCTTTGTAGCTTACTATAGGAGCCTCTAGCCTCTGCGCTAAAAGCCAGTTGTCTCCCTGCCTGTGCTGTAGAGATCGCTTGGTTTTCTCTGTTGCTGTAGTCTAAGTGCCACTGCAGGGGTCAATGAACCATACTAGGGCTATGTCGACACTGCCCGGTTCCTGCGCAAGGGTTCTTGTGCAAGAAGTCTTGTGCAAGAACACGTCCACACTGCCACGTGGACAGTGGATGCAGTGTGGATGCTCTCTTGCACAAGAAAGCTCGGATGGCCATTTTAGCCATAGGGCTTTCTTGCGCAAGAAATCCCTGCCCAGCGTCGACACTGCCCTCTTGCGCAAGAGCTCCTGCACAAGAGGGCTTACACGTGTTAAAAAAGAGCGTAGCTCTTGTGCAAGAAGCCCTCTCTTACCACGCCGGACTGTAAATTTCCTTGTGCAAGAGCGGGCAGGCAGAGTGGATGCTCTGCGGATTCTTGCACCAGAACGACCATTCTTGCGCAATAACCCGCCAGTGTAGACATAGCCTAGGTGTGTGGGTTACACCAGCTCAGCCGTAGGTCTCTCCACAGAGAGAGTCAACAATGGTGCTGGTTACCGGTGGGTCCTTTTGTCCTCCACCCAGGACAGACACACCCCCTCCCACACACACATTTCATGTAGGACACCCCACAAGTGTCAGAGACCAAGGATTGCCGGTCATCATCCTCCTGGAGCTGAGAGGAGAGCGGTTTGAAGCGCTGACCTTGAGGACGCCCTGCGAGGGTCTTGAGAAGATGTGGTTTAGATAAGGGTATCTGCCCTGAACAGGAAACACAAGGCATCCTGTCTGGAGCAACTCAGGCAGCTGGTTGGGAGCCAGACAGCACGGTGAAGACGGGCAGGCAGCGGCCATCACATGTCCAGCAGAGGAGCTTGTATTACCCCATAACAGCTTGTCACTTTATTTTTAGCCCGTTTGGGCTGGATCAGGGTTTGTTTGGATCCCTTGAGGTATTTTTAGCTTCACCCTAAGAGGGGTTATAAACAGAACTACTAGCTGGCTAAACGGTGTAAACACACCCCGGCTGCTGTGGTACGTGCGTGTCTGTGTGACAGGGAGGCGGCACTGGGTGTGACAGTATCCCAGCAAGAACAGGCTTAGGGGTAGAGCAGTGGCTAGGAACTCAGAGAACTCTGCTCCCAAGGAGGATTTGGTGAGAGCACAGTGTACTTGGGGAAGGAATAAAGCCTTCGAGAGTTGCTGCTTGCCCGGATAGGTCAGTTTCCACAGTGGCTGCTGTGTGCGGCTGTCATTCAGGATCGCCAGGTGCCTGGTTTTTGACTGGAAATTCCAGCCCTACGTGGTCCCAAAACCAAAAGACCGGTTCATGCAGGTTCGAGGGAAGGGCCGGGACTTTAATCCAGGCCTGCTTCTCTTCAGCCATGGCCACCCCCTACTTGCAGGCAGGGTCACTGTGACAGTGGCTGCAGGAGGAGAGCGGGAAAGGAGCAAGTAACAGGGGCAGGGCCTTGAGGGGAAGAGGCAGAGCAGGGGCAGAGCCTCAGGGGAGAGGCAGAGAGATATTTGGTGCCTGGGGGAGGGGGAAGAGGGTAAGTTGCCAGTCATTAGAAAGGTGGCAACCCAACTCTCTATTGGCTCTGAACCTCTGTGCCTCTGTGTGCCTGAACAGTGAGGGGTACAGCCAAAGACTGGCTGTTGCTCATGAAGAAACTGTCATCTCTTCAGTTGCAAGCCTCTAGCCCGGGGTGGGGAACCTTTATTCAGGCGGAGGCTGCTGACCCACCCAAAAAAAAATCAGTCAGGGACCACCCAAGAAAAACAAACCAACCCCAAACCCTCACTGAAGCGGTCCCCATTGAGAAGCAAAAGGACACGCCCCACATTCCTCTCACATACCAGAGCCTAGGGGGGGCTAGGCTCGTAGATTTTGTGTGCTCCAGCCTCACGGTGGGGCAGCGGAGGGACTGGAGAACCAGTATAGGCTTCCCCAATGCTCAGGGCAGAGCCCTGAACCTCAGAGGCCAGATCCAGGCAAGCCGGGGGGGCACATCTAGCCCCCAGGACTTAGGTTCCCCATCCTGGTCTAGCCTTTTTGCACCCTCAAGGCCTGTGGCTGTTAAAATCCAGCCTTTCAATTTAGGTCTCTACCTACCCTCCAGTCTCACTCTAATCGGTTTTGGCTGGCAGAACCCAGACCCGCCCACAGGCAGTGGGCAAAGGGGACAGTCGCCTTTGGGCCCATGAGTCAAAGGGACACGGAGCTGGCCCCTAACTACACCTTGCCTGGGGACCCACAAAAGTTGTCGTCTC